TATTTACAGGGACATGTGGTTTCAGCGTGATGGCTGCCCAGCGCACTATGCACTCTCAGTGAGAGAGTATCTCGATCAAAACTTTCCAGGCAGATGGATAAGGCGGTCTGGTACAATACCGTGGCCAGCCCGATCACCTGATTTGAATCCTTTAGATTTTTTACTGGGGAACTGTAAAAGAAAAAGTATATTTCAAGCCGATTCAAAATGTAGTTGAGCTACGGCAAAGACTATTGGAAGCAGCTGAGCTTGTTAATAACCGTGGATTCGCTCGTTTCATAACCTGATCTTTTTTAAGAAGATGTCGAGCGTGTATTGCGGCTGAAGGAAAACAGTTTGAGCATTTGCTGTAAAGGTAAATCATCATCAGCAGCATTTCGACGCCCACTGTTGTGCAAACAGTTATCGTTAAGGGTCCTTGTGCGTTTTCATAATCGCTGTTTAATTAGGAAATTTTGAAAAATTTTCATCAGTTTTTTTCAAAAAAAAATTGTGCATAAGTTAACGAGTAATCTTCTAAGTGTTATACCATTTTGGAATCGTTATTAAATGCGCCAACTTTTAAGGTTACTTGCTAAACTCTCGTAGTACATTTTTTCCAGTACAGCGAGTTAAAGTTGAGCAAAGTTTTACTTTGGAATACTTGGTTGGGAAATAAGTGGCAATTTTTCCTGAACGAGAAAAGTTGGCAGTAAGGTTGAGACACCAGCTTGAAGATGCATTATTCATCATTACATTGTAAAAATAAAATCCAAAAAAAGTTAATATTTGTAGTAACAGGAGTTGACAGACTGCCGTGCTGTGTGAAATTTCTTTATCTTTTTCAAAGACCTATAATTTTCAAAACACATACATAAAATTTTTTTAAATATTTTTCTGATAGCTGTTATGACTTTGCCTGTCACCCGGTTTCGGCTTGACGTCGACTTCTGGGACACCCTGTATAATCCAAAAATATAAACTTCCAACCTTTCATCTGTTAACCCTCTAAATTGCATATCTTTAAGGATATTCTCAAATGGCACCGCTACCCAGAATCCAATATAGTCTCGTGAATTTCTGGTATTCCAACATGGCTATAGCACTAACTAGCCAGTAAGACCTCAGCCTAAGAAATTTACTGTCGTTTCGGTGTCGGCAAATGGATTAAAGGAACAACATACAAAATAAATCGCAAAATGCATTACCCCAACTCAAGTAGGTGCCGCCCACACTCGGCAAGAGTAGCTGTAGATCACTCGACTGAATCAAGGAGCCTGAAAGGCGATTGAATAATTACTATGGACGTGTTGGGGGGTCAACTTAGCAGCAGCGGCGAGTCGTGTCGTGGCTATCGGACCACGTCGGTGCCGGCAGTACTGGTGGTGCTGGTACTACGTCGAACGCCGCCGTCGCCCGTCATGACCTGCTTTACATACAATGCTCTGCATCCTTGGCTGTTCAGCCAGCTACGTGATGTCTTTGCGAAGCATGTGTTTCTGTAAGTGAAACCGACGGCAAGCCCAAGTCGACCATGGACGGTACATTGGGGCATAATAATAATAATAACGTTTATTGAGATACAACTCAAAAGAAAAGGACATCTGGACATCTTTCAACCCTTCCGAAGGCATTAATATAAATAGATAAATTGCGAAAGAATAGATTGATAATAGACATCAGACAGATATAGTTAAATAACATGGTTAACATATTACAATCAGTATATAAGAGTACATTCTACATTTAAACTGTATAAATGGACAAGTAAGTAACTACAGAAAAAAGAAAATATATATAGTTAAAGATAAGGTCATAACGCCAAATAATAGATGGAATTCACGATTACAGTACATGAAACTGATACAATAACATGGTATAAGTACACACCTTTTTGCTTGTTAAGAAGATATAGCCTGTAGTATTTTTTAAACCGTTGTATGGAATTTTCGTCAAATAGTTCAACCTCTTTGTTCAAAATGGTTGGAGCCATGTAGGTGAAACTACTTTTAAACTTGCTTGAAGAGTGCGTAGGAATAACATATAAGTTTGAGTTTCTCGTAGCTAAATTACGAACATGAGAAAGCCGCGTTAAATTGTTATAGAGGTATGATGGTTTTTTATATCTAATCAACTTATACAACATAGTACTGTATTGAAATTCAGCATTTGAATCATATTTCAGATAACCCAAATTATTGTAATGTGGAGATATATGTTCAAACCTGTTGATAGTGTTGTAACTGTACCGTAAACAACAGTTTTGTAAAACCTGAACCTTGTGTTTCAAGTTAGCAGTTAAATATGTGTAAAAAACAATTCAACCGCAGTCCATGTTAGATAGTATAACAGCATTGACTATTCGTCATTTCAAATCGGCAGATAGAATATATTTGAGTCTCCAAAGGCTCCTAAACTTAAAATAACAGCTACTAATTTTACTAGCTATCTGAGATTCAAATGTTAGATTGCTGTCTATTAATATCCCTAAGTTTTTGACATTGTCCGCTAGATGAATAACCGACCCATTCAGTGTAATATCTTGGGATTTAATTGTGAGAGCACGGTTCACCATCACTTTACTACCGACAACGATCGCCACAGATTTGCTTGGATTTAGACGTAAACCAACTTGTACGGACCACTCACTTAGAGCATATAGGTTTTCATTCACCTCACTCACTAGTCTGTTGATGTCACTAGCTGCACCAGATTTGTAGAGTTGCGTGTCGTCCGCATACATGTGGACTTTCCATTGATATTTGAGGATGCTGGGAAGATCTGCTGTGTATATACTGAACGGTAAGGGTCCAAGTATGCTGCCTTGAGGAACCCCTGGTGCAACTGTCTTTTCACTAGATAATTCTCTATTGAGCTGTACTGTTTGTTTCCTATTTGCTAAGTAACTTGTTATCCACTGTAATGCTGATTATTTCACACCATAGTGAAACAACTTGGCTACCAGAAGCTTATGGTCAACCAAGTCGAATGCTTTACTAAAATCGAGTAATATTAGTAATGTCACTTCTAAGTTATAGATGGATGCAGTCATGTCGTTACTTATGTTCATCAATGCTGAAGTGGTGCTATGGCGCTTTCTAAAGCCTGATTGAACTTCAGGCAGAGTATTATTGATGTTTATATGGCATAACAATTCTGCTTCAACAATTTTTTCGATAAGCTTGGACATAGTTGGAAGTACATTTATTGTTCGGATGTCATCCAGTCGTGTGTAATAAGAGATACGAAGATCCTTTCCTTTTCCGCGTTTGATGCTAGGCGAAATCTGGCACCAGCGCCGTGTTTGTCGGCTCCCCCACCATCGATCTCAACAAGAGTCACCCATTGGTGATGCTTAGTATCGGCCTAACAGCCATGCGCAATGGAGGTGCGGAATTCGTGCGGTCATCCGATTTTTGCACGCAAAACCGTTACCACCCAAAGAAATGCATCGCCACTTAGGTGAAGTATGGTATATTAACTGGATCAAAGCAGTTACGTCACAACGTCAAATAATGACAGGACGTTTACAGAATCTACTTTATGTCTTCGATGCCTTGCCGCAACCAACATTACGGAACGCATGTTTTGTAAGCGCTAGAGCCAGTGACAGTGGCAGACCGCAATCAACATTACAGTACTGTGCGTATTAGTGACTAGCAGAAATTAACTTACTCTTGAAAAATAATATAAAAAATAGGCTACAAACCATATTTTAACTTTATTACAACTTTATAATTTAAGTTAAACTACACAACATTCTAAAACAGCTATAAGTAAAATGAACATTGAAATAGAATTTGTTTAAAGTATGTATTACACAAAGTTCTCAGAATTAAAACTTATGTATAAATAATAGTGGCAAGATATATATTATTTGAAAAAGGTTCTAGTTACTAGAACTCTCTGAATTGCTATCACCATTTGCCTCATTTACATTTATCATAACTGGTACAATGTCAGCTTGGTCTAGATATTTCTCTCTTTTCTACCATCTATGAATTTCGTTTTCAGTATGTGACCAAATGTCGGCTGTAACAGATTGTAAAGCTTCTCGCCATAAATTGATACGGTGCTCTACAGTTCTGCCATCTCGACCCACACGTTTGTTAAGCCCCAAACATTTGCAATAGGTTCAAAAAATGCAATGATAGGGCTGTAGTCCTAATACTTTATGTCCATAGTCTTCGGCTAATGCATCAACTACATGTCTTACAGGCGGTTTGTATGCATGTACCTTCTGAAGTAGTTGTGCTTTGAACATGTCAGGACTAAAATCAATTTCATTATCGCGTAACCATTTCATAATGTCCTCCTTTTTGGATGCTGTAGTTGGTACCTTATTCTCAATAGTACTACGGTATGATTTGTCCATATTCTATAACCGATGGTTTTTTAAATTCTTCAATAATTTTCTATTCGGACCACTTGTCCTTATACATTTCTCCATGATTTAATGATGATGAAAATACTAATTCTGCTCCATCAAAATACACATTTTCATTTCCGGCATGTAGAACAATATACCTAAAAGCAAGGATTATTGAGGACCTGTCTGTTATTTTCATAAGCCTAAAACTAATAGCAAAAAATTATGTAACATATACCATATTTCAAGCAGATACCTATTTTTCTACCTTTTCTTCCAAATACTTGTACATGTCAAAATAAAAAAGCTTTGTACAAGAATGAGAATTTACAATGTAATGTAAGGTTAACCTAAGTGTTTCAAATAAGGTACTGACCTTTTGCCTTGTCACTGATTTTACAATACTGTCTCACCTTGATTGACCTGGTGTACTATTCTGAAAAATCCATGCTTCGTCAAGTAAAATAAACTGAATTTGTTTGATGATTTGCAGTCTAAGTATGCTCGAAGAAAAAATGCTATTCATTTAGAAGCAATGTGAAATGTGACTCAGTTTTATTAACCGTCACGTGGGTCACCTTTTTGCCATTTAAATCCAATTTCTCGTACGATACTTTTCCACCACTAAATAAATGTCAATCTTTTGGTTTACTTGTCAATGCGGAAGGTAACATGTTCTTCTGAATCTAAAACACAATATTAATTTATAGCAATGAATTTTTGTATTATATGTGGTGAAAATTAAAAAACTCTCTTTGTTTATACCACATCACGAATTGCTGTTTGATCGGATGAAGACAATGCAGTGACAGTCTTCTTGTGAAGACGCTTTTTCTTTGCTGATTCAGGTACTTTATCAGCTTTGCATTGAGAAGATAACCTCTTTACCGTTGACAAATTTAGTTTCAACGCACCAGCGACACGTTGCTAAGAAAGTATACTTTATCTGAAGTCACTTGAAATAGCATAAAAACCTTTGGTCGGCGCGTCCTTTGTAATTTCATGACGTATCATAGGCGTGCCCTCATTTATTTAGAACGATAATAATAATGTTTTTATATCACAATAAATGGATTTTACTATCTTCTTATTTTTTTTGATTTGGGATAAAAAATACTTATATTGGGAGTTTAATTTATGTTGACTGAAAGTTAAGAAATGGAAAAATTACAGAATTCCAACGTTTGACATAGGCAAATATTTACATAGCAGGTAGGTATATAAAAAGGTGTATAAAGACTTACATTATAGGTATTTATATATCATCTTCGCCTTCGGAGCTGTCGCTAGAGTCATCTTGTAGAGGAATTACAACGGGATTTACAGGAGGCAAAACACAATACTCATTTTCTTTTTCAATAATATGCCTAGAACACTGCTTCCATAGGTCTGTGGCAGCAATATGAGATACTGCATCTCTTATTGTGGCCAATAGCGATTGACTTAATTGAGGGGTCGGATTATGTTTTCTTACTTTTTTTTTAAAGCAGCCCAGACCAACTCAATCGGGTTAAAAATGCAGTAATAGGGAGGTAGACATAATACTTCATGGCCATTTTGCTGAAGCAGATTGTCAACAACATACTCTTTTTCAAATTTTTGTCTTTTAATAAGATCCAATAATATGGCTTTGGTTGATTTTTGTGGTATTTCCATTTCCTTATCCTTCATAAAATCAATAATGTCTTGTTTTTTTGTGCCTGTATTCGGAATTTTGTTTTTCTGTCGGGAATGGTATGGCGCATTGTCCATAATAATCACTGAATTTGGGGAAATGTTTGGTATTAACTGCTGCTCTATCCACTTTTCAAATAAGTCGGAGGTCATGTCCTCATGATAGTCGGCACATGATTCTTTGATATTTTTGGCAGATAACAGCAAGGCATTAGGTATAAATCCATTTTCACTGTCAGCATGGAGAATAATGATTCGTTTTCCACGGTTGCATGGTGCATTTAAAATGCACTTGTTGCTGTCGTCAACCCAGCCGTACTGCACAACATCATGGGTATCATACCACGTTTCATCCAGGTAAATCAGAATCTTTTCTGCTCTCTATAGATTTTAACTTTGTGCAAAAATTCTTGGCGCAATTCAACGATTCGAGACGACTCCATAATCACCATTCTTTTATCTAATTTTTTGTATTGAAAACCACACAGTTTTACAATACAGTGCAGTGAGTCTAAGCATTTGTAATTATAAAAATCTTCAGGATAATCTTTTAATTTATCCCGTATCATTTCCAACGTGGGCACCAAATGTTCTTTATAAAATCGGTATATTATACGACGAATATCTTTCTGAAAACCCACGTCTATTCTTTTTAATTTTTGCCCTATGCGCTTTCTGTGGAAGGAATGGTTGACTACATCTCCCCTTTTTATAACCCGATAAATGGTAGACCGACTGATTTTTGTCAGGATACAAATTCTGTTTAAAATTTGATTTTGCGAGGAATCTGGATTTTCGTTTTTCAGACAATCATACATATTTAGGAATCACTCTTTGGGTCTGTTCCTCTAAATCTTTATGAAAGAATTCCGCCTGCACAGGTTCATCAACCATCTCCTCGTGGCTTGGAGCATTTTCCCAAGGTCTCCAAAGAGCCATATTTAGGACACACAAGAACAATCAACACAACAATTAAATCAACAAGTAAACTGAGTATTCAAAAGTCAAAAACACACAAACTGATAAAATCTATGGAAAAACACGGACAGACTAAAGAAAACACGTTTATTCACCGCTACACGGCACTGGCTAAACTGTTTCAATTTTCAGTAGCCACCTGCACTTGTTCGGAGCTCTGAAATACACGCTTTCTCATTGGCTATGTCCACGCATAGGCGTGCTTTACTCCACGTGGACCGGTGAAACTGCCTTTGATCTTATACCGGGGATATTTGCTGCGAAATTTGGCGATTTTTGCAGCAACAGAGCGTGTTAAATATAGATATATAAAACGCACCCGGTATTTCACAGTGTTTCAAGTGACTTCAGATAAAGTATACGTAGATTAATAAATAAATTGATTCTATATACTACCTAATACCTCTGTTACGGACTGTAAAGGCAATAATGGAGCTTCATAATCTGGTTCGGTCTGAAAATATTTTGTCAAAGGAATTATGAATTTTTTGCTTGTTGACTCTGAGACGGGGCCAATCCAAAATCGTCGTAGGGTGAAACTCTGCAATGCTCATCCTCATGCCTCACAACAATCGAATGACTGTAATGAGCGATTTAACTAACAAACTCTTCCCCGATCATTCTGACTGTCAACCAACGATCTGAATGCACAAAATCTCAGATTTTGCCGATATTTTCATCGGTTCTTGAATTTAAAGGCCTTCCGCTTTGCACCACTGAAAAACCTATGCTTTTGACAAAGCACTATCCCCTGCTGCCTGCTGCTTAGCAGGGGTATTCGTTGCACTACGCCAAAGTCTGAAGCCTATTCTGATTACACACCGTTGCTCGAAATTGATATCATTCATTTTCAAAAGACAATGAAGAAATCTCGAGCGAGTTCAAACTTGTAGTGAAGGCGGGTCACATGTTCCCCTGTCTCCATTTAAGCCCAGCCCCTCCAATGTTGCCAGATCGACCGCTATGTTGCAAGCCTCATCACTCAGCTTACAGCCCTCGTATAACCCGATGCTGAACCTGCCCACATATGCAAAGTTGAACAGTTCCATCAACTAGCTATATAATAACCTACTTCCGTATCAGTTTCGTTGAGTAAAATCTTTGTTATTTGTCACATACCCTTATCTATTCATATCATCAAAACCGGTGGCACGAGAGCTTTGACGGTTTCTAATGGGTTATTGTACTTTTACGGACAAAACGCAAATTAAGCTATAAAATATTATGATCGACGCAGTAGGCTATGAACCGTTAGTTGGCCCGTCATGCAAGGCAATGTGGTGCTTTGTTCACACGAACAGCATAATCATCTAGTTTTCCACAATAACTCCATTTAGGTAACGTAAATTTTATAATACTATGCTGATCTTTACATGAAAATGGTGCTATTACGGTAGCAGGCAAAGGGAGACGGTGACAACCTCAGGCACCATCAAATCGCACACACAGTACAAATACAACACAAGTATTATAATATCACCAGAAATAGCCAATGCCGTAATAAATAGCTGTATTTATTGAAACCGTGGAGGCAACAAAACTTAAGGATACTTTTTTAAAATTCAAGTTCATCTTTTACTACTCCTATCTCTAAAGAGGACCTAAAAATGTCAGTAAATAAATACATTAATGATTTCCAAATTCCAAGTATTGCAACAAATATAGCACAAAACGTCGATGAACTTAATTTATGTACACAAAATTCTGATGCAAAATTTCGAATTTTTAATATGAACATATGTTTACGCCTCAAAACTTTTTTCTATGTATACAATATCCATAATTATTTCCGCTATATTCGCATGCGCGGCTGAAAAGAAGCGACGTTGCAATTAAGAAAGACAGACTTCCTTGTACGACCTTCGAGAATAAACACCTACATTTTGAGCGGGTGTTTCCCTTCTTCATTCACCTCTCATCAGCAGCAATATTACAAAAAACATTTTGGTCCTTCGAGTCAAATCTAATCAGTGCCGTGAATACCCTGAGAAGTCGAATTCCCTTGGAAGAACAGCCGAAATTCTCAAATTCACAAGTCCAGAAAGTGAGGTTAGGTGGCAGCAACACGGCGGCCATTGCAGCGGAGGCAGCGCGGCAACATTGCAGCTGTGAACCACGAACGGCGGCGGCTGACTCAACCGGCCAATCTACGTGTGGACCACGGTGAACTAGGAAGACAGTGGCGTTCCACTCAGAATTCCAAGGTACACATCCAGCTGCAAGCTAAAGTGAGATTACGCAGTGAGCCCATTCCTTTCATACCTTCATACTTACCAAAGGCCTAACTGCATATTCTCATGCATATTCATTCAATTGCTTAATTCTTACCTGAAAAACGGTGTATAACTTAGATTTCAATTTACACCAACTTGTGTGAATTTTTTGAAATTTCATACATACACGTTCTTACGCGCACCTTTCTTGTGCGTCGTGCTTACATTTCGACATTCCATAAACATGGAAGATTCATCTCTTAGAACGCTTATCCGTAAACGAGGTGCGTTTAAAGCACAGCTCACTTTATTCAAAAAATATATTACTCAGCTAGAGGAAGCGATGCAAGATGTTTCTTTACAGGCTTTAGACAAAACTCTCATCATTGAATTAGAATTACGGGTAGAAAAATACGAGAAAATGTTTAAAGAATTTGAACAAGTACAATCTGACATCGAATATACTTCAGATGATTTTGATGCACAGTTGCAAGAAAGAGAAAGCTTTGAATCAGTTTATTATAGTCTCATATCACCTTGTAAGAAAATTATCTCCGATTATTACACCGTAGACAGTGGCGTAACGGACACGGGTTCTGGCAGATTTCCTGCATCCCCAGCTATCAAATCCTTCGAAAAATTGCATTCTAACCAGTTTAATGTCAAATTACCAGAGATAAAATTGCCAAAATTCTCCGGTAGTTACGAAAATTGGCTGGAGTTCAGAGACACGTTCGATTCTCTAATCAATAATAACACTTCGATAAACAACATACAGCGATACCATTACTTGCGATCAGCTTTAGAGGGCGGAGCAGCGCAAGTTATACGCTCTATTGAATTTTCAGCGGATACTTACCATACTGCATGGCAAACTCTTACAAAACGTTACAATAATGACAACTTACTTATTCAAAATCATGTCAAGTCGATTTTCAATTCACCGGTCATGGCAAAGGAGTCGGCATCAGAACTACGCAAGATGCTCGACAACCTATCGAAACATTTACGCTCCTTACAAGCTCTAGGTCAACCAGTCGAACATTGGGACACTCTCCTTATTTTCATCTTAGGTCAAAAACTAGACAAAACAACATCCAGGGAGTGGGAGGAAAGAAAGGTCTCTCTAATCTCATCTGAAAATAAGGTCCCTTCTCTAGATCAGTTCGAAGCCTTCCTCAAGGGCAGAGCGGACTTCCTGGAGACAATTTCTCTTGGTAGAGAGACAAAAAACACGCATTCCTACCAAGCTAACACGTCCAGCGATACAAAGAACTGCATATTTTGTAATAAATTTGGACACCTTATTCAAAATTGTCACGAATTCACCAAACTTTCTGGTGAAAACCGACTAAAACAGCTTGAAAACCGTAAGTTATGTGCAAACTGTTTGCGAGGCACTCATCCACTCAAAAACTGCATGGCTGGCTCTTGTCGAAAATGCAAGAAGAGACATAATACTTTGCTCCACAATGACTTCACCGCAGAGTCAAATACAAATATCCCTTCACATCCTACACATACAAATCCAGTGGCTGGGACATTTAGTGGCAGCACTAATTGCAACCTTTCTGCGCCTGCGCAGACACTTCTCTCGACAGCCGTTGTCTATGTTAAAGATAGACAGGGCATGTCACAATCCCTGCGAATTTTACTCGATTCGGGATCGCAGTCCAATTTCATCACACAAGAAACTTGTGAGCGCCTAGGATTACGTACCTTACCGTTTCAGATTTCCGTCTTGGGGATAAATCAGGTAGCTTCTTCTATCGACAAATCCTGCAAGGTTACCTTCGAATCCGTACATACTTCTTACACCGCAACGGTTCATTGCCTGGTGCTTCCTAAAATAAATGAAAACTTGCCTATTCAAACTATTGATACTTCTTCTTTGAGAATCCCAGGTCATTTAAACCTCGCTGATCCTACCTACTTTGAAAGCGGCAAGGTTGACATGCTTCTAGGAGCCGAAATCTTTTACAATTTGCTCTGCATTGGGTAGATACGTCTTGGGAAAAACTTACCCATCTTACAGAAAACCGTCCTTGGCTGGGTGCTTTCCGGTCCTATTCCTGTTCACAACGGTAACTTCAAGCAAACTTCATGCAACTTGACAACAAGTCAAGAAATCCATAATCTCCTAACCAAATTCTGGGAGGTTGAAGAACCTATCATCACCAAAAACCTTCATCTTTCCTCGGAAGAGCAAATCTGCGAGGATATCTTTCAGATAACCACTCGTAGAGACGAAAGTGGGCGCTTCATCGTCCAAATTCCTCTCAAACTGGATCCTTCTCACTTAGGAAATTCCAGAGAATGTGCCTTAAAACGATTTCACTCAACGGAGAACAAACTTTCCAAGCAACCTACCTTGCGGGAACCTTACACTAGATTCATAGAAGAATACCACAACCTCGGTCACATGGTTAAGGTGCCTTCCTCTCAAGTACCTACCTCTTCTTACTTCCTACCTCATCACGCAGTTGTGAATGAGAATAACAAAACAACAAGACTCAGAGTAGTATTCGACGCCTCATCTCGGTCTGACACTGGGTACTCCTTAAATGATCTTCAGTACGTAGGCCCAACCATTCAAGATAGCTTATTTTCAATTCTTCTAAGATTCCGTCAGGGTCATATCGCTGTAGGTGCTGATTTAGTCAAAATGTTCAGACAAATCAGAATACACGAATCCCAACGTCATCTCCAAACGATCCTGTGGAGAGATGATCCTTCGCAAGAGCTTGAAACCTTCCAACTCTGTACGGTTACTTACGGAACCGCCTCAGCTTCTTGGCTCTCAGTCCGGTGTCTAAAGCAGCTTGCTTTAGAACATACTGATACCTTCCCACACGCAGCCAATGTCTTATCAAAGGATTTCTACATGGACGATCTCCTTTATAGCTGTCAATCAGAAGAGGAGGCAGTAAGGTTATGCGATGAACTTACCTCTATTCTTTCCGCTGGTTGCTTCCAGCTCCAAAAATGGTCTTCAAATAGCAAACAAGTTTTAGATCATGTCCAATCCAATAATCCTCAAACCATCATAAATATAGGTTCAGATCAACGTGCAAAGACCCTTGGTGTTTTCTGGTCCTGCTCTTCAGACCACCTCATGTACAGCATATCTGAATCATTTTCCAATTTAAGAGCTATAACCAAACGCTCTATTCTCTCCGACATTGCCCAAATATTCGATCCACTAGGGCTTCTCGGGCCATGCATCATCATTGGCAAAATTCTCCTCCAACAACTATGGTCCTTGAAACTTCATTGGGATGAGTCCTTGCCCAGTAATCTCGACAGTCGTTGGCGGAGATTTAGGGAAGAACTTCCTGTTCTCAACATGCTCAAGGTTCCGAGACATGTCTTATGTCCCACTGCATCTAGAATCGAGCTTCACGGATTCTCGGATGCTTCCGTTGAAGCCTACGGTGCATGCCTTTATATTCGCAGCATCTCTTCTTGCGGCGAGATCACTGTACACTTGCTCACAGCCAAATCCAAGGTTAGTCCTTTAAAATCCTTGACTATTCCAAAGCTTGAGCTGTGCGGGGCTTTCTTACTTACTCAACTTGTTGTAAAGGTAAATCAATCAATGAGTATTTCCTTCGATGATACCTTCCTTTGGTGCGACTCCACGGTATGTCTAGCCTGGATCAAAACAGAAGCTAACAAACTTCAACCCTTCGTTCAAAACAGGGTGGCACACATTCAGTCACAAACGCAGGCAGAAAGTTGGCATTACATCAATACTGCTGAAAACCCAGCAGACTTACTTTCTCGTGGCGTATCACCTACTTACCTTCTAAACTATCAATTTTGGTGGAATGGCCCGACTTGGCTATCACACGAACACGACAAGTGGCCCATTGCACAAGCCAAACTTGAAGGTGAGTTGCCAGGATTAAAGAAACAACTCGTGTCATTTCCTGCCACATGTACGCCCGACATTCTCAAAATTTCATCTTATTCTAGCTTTTCAAAACTTCAGCGCGTGACAGCGTATGTACTCAGGTACATCTCAAATTGCAAATTGCCCAAGAAGGATCGATCAATCGGAGGACTTACGGCATCAGAACTTTCAACCGCCTGTACTCACCTTACAATAACAGCACAGAGGCAATCCTTTAGGGATGATTACTTCACTTTGAAACGTGGTAAGCCATTACCTAAATCTTCAAAATTACTTTCTTTGAACCCATTTATAGACGACAAGGGTGTCATTCGTGTTGGGGGAAGAATTCAAAACTCAAATTCTTGCTTCGCATTTAAACACCCGGCCGTTCTTTCTGGCAAGCACCAGTTATCCAAATTGTTATGCGAGTATGAGCACATACGTCTGCTACATGCCGGTCCACAGCAGACTCTTTATTCCTTACGGCAAAGGTTTTGGGTCACGAGTGGTAGAAACCTTACCAGACAAACCGTTCGTACTTGTATAAAATGTTTCCGATGCAATCCTTCGGTTACTTTACCTATGATGGGTGTACTTCCCAAAGCACGTGTCACTCCAGCTCCACCGTTTCATACTACCGGAGTAGATTACGCGGGTCCTGTCATGATCAAGGATAAACCTGGTCGAGGTGCGAAACTGACTAAGGCCTACATAGCTTTATTCGTTTGCTTTGCCACAAGGGCTATTCATTTAGAACTTGTTAGTAGCTTGACCACAGAAACCTTCATTGGTGCCTTTCGTCGGTTTACCGCCCGCCGTGGAAAACCACAGGAAATTTGGAGCGACAATGGCTCAAATTTCAGAGGGGCTGAAGCGGAACTGCGCGAACTCGCGTCCTTCCTTGCCCAAAATAAAGCTCACTTACAAGAAAACATAAGCAACACAGGTGTAAATTGGAAATTTATACCAGCCTTTTCTCCTCACATGGGGGGCATCTGGGAAGCAGGGGTAAAATCTGCAAAGAAGCATCTGCGCCGCATCCTCGGCTCATCAAATCTGACCTTTGAGGAATATTATACCGTACTCACTCAAATAGAAGCGGTTTTAAATTCAAGGCCGATTGCTCCTATGTCTTCCTCTCCTGACGATCCTTTGGCCCTAACGCCATCCCATTTCCTTATTGGGCGTCCAGCTACTGCATTGCCCGATCCGGACTTCACCGAAACACCGATGACAAGATTGTCAAGACACCAGTTGCTACAGCAGTTACAACAGCACTTTTGGAGGCGCTGGTCCAACGAATACTTGAGCGAGCTACAGCAACGTATCAAGTGGAGATCACATCAATGCCAACTTCAACTTGGTTCATTAGTAGTTCTCCGAGACGATAACCTACCTCCTCTACATTGGAAACTTGGCAGGGTTTCCACGCTTCATCCTGGCGCAGACGGCAAGGTTCGAGTTGCTACCGTGCGAACATCTTCAGGTGCAGTGAAACGTGCGGTAACAAAGCTTTGTGTGTTGCCAATAGAGCCCGAACCAGTGCAAAAACCGGACTGTAAAGTTAGTGATGTAAAAACAAAAACGCGATCATAACGTGCTATCTTATTCCATTTTGCAATCAGATGTACTATTGTGAAATGTATTCATTCGTATATTGAAAGCTGACTCTTTCAAGGTCGGGGGTATGTTTACGCCTCAAAACTTTTTTCTATGTATACAATATCTATAATTATTTCCGCTATATTCGCATGCGCGGCTGAAAAGAAGCGACGTTGCAATTAAGAAAGACAGACTTCCTTGTACGACCTTCGAGAATAAACACGTACATTTTGAGCGGGTGTTTCCCTTCTTCATTCACCTCTCATCAGCAGCAATATTACAAAAAACAACATAAGGAGTACAAAACACAACATTGATTACTTAAAAATACTACTCGACCAAATATGGTACAATTTTGATCTAATAGTT